CTCCCTTCACAGGTATGACTTTTATAACAGCAAACCACACAGCTTGTCAAAATGTTCATCACATAAAATGGAACATGTAGTTGTAGGTTTCAGTATAGATCTTTCAGGTTTGGTGTTCTGAATACAATTTGTATCTGCTTGTAAATTTGAGTGACATTCACACCAAATTGAGATGGATAAACTTTGACAATTTACTTGGCCTAATGATATTTCAGAGTAAAATCTATCACTTCATTTCTTGGTTTTTTTCTCAGGACTGAGAACAATAAAATTGTATCCAGCTACTGTAGACACCCTGCACAAATCTACAATGGATAGAAAATACAAATTTTGTATTCACAGGATGCAAACTTTACACCATTTGTTAAATCCATGTTGTTGCCTTGTTTCCAATCTGCCCACATTGACAGTGGAGGCTGGAAGCTCAAGCTTTTGTAGGAGTAAAGGCAGTGGAGTGCCCTAGTTAAGTTGCACCTACAGAGCGTCAACATGGATACAATGTGTTCTGAGGAAGGGTCACCAAACCCGAAACGTTAATTCTGTTTGCTCTTTCACGGATGCTGCCAGACTTGCTGAGGTTTTCCAGCAACTTTGTTTTTGTTCCTGGATACAACATGACCTCCTTCTGTAACTATTCTATGAATTTTAAGATAACAAGGTACAGAGCTGGATGAACACAGCAGGCCAAGCAGCATCAGAGGAGCAGGAAAGCTGACATTTCGGGTCTAGACCCTTCTTCAGAAATGGGGGAGGGGAAGGGGATTCTGAAATAAATAGGGAGAGAGGGGGAGGTAGATAGAAGATGGATAAAGGAGAAGATAGGTGGGGAGGGGAGAGACAGGTCAAAGAGGCGGGGTTGGAGCCAGTAAAGGTGAGCGTAGGTGGGGAGTTAGGGAGGGGATAGGTCAGTCCAGGGAGGACGGACAGGTCAAGGAGGCAGGATGAGGCTGGTAGGTAGGAGATGGGAGTGGGGCTTGAGGTGGGAGGAGTGAATAGGTGGGAGGAAGGACAGGTTAGGGAGGCGGGGACGAGCTGGGCTGGTTTTGGGATGCGGTCAGGAGAGGGGAGATTTTGAAGCTTGTGAAGTCCACATTGATACCATTGGGCTGCAGGGGTCCCAAGTGAAATATGAGATGCTGTTGCTGCAACCTTCGGGTGGCATCGTTGTGGCACTACAGGAGGCCCAGGATGGACATGTTGTCCAAGGAGTGGGAGGGGGAGTTGAAATGGTTCGCGACTGGGAGGTGCTGTCATTTGTCGCAAAATGAGCGTAGGTGTTCCACAAAGCGGTCCCCGAGCCTCCGCTTGGTTTCCCTGATGTAGAGGAGGCCACATTGGGAACAGCGGATACAGTATACCACATTAGCAGATGTGCAGGTGAACATCTGTTTAATGTGGAAGGTCTTCTTGGGGCCTGGGATGGGGGTGAGGGGGGAGGTGTAGGACAGGTGTAGCACTTCCTGCGGGTGCAGGGAAAAGTACCGGGGGTGGTGGGGCTGGTGGAGAGTGTGGAGCGGACAAGGGATTCATGGAGAGAGTGGTCCCTCCGGAAGGCAGATAAGGGTGGGGAGGGAAAAATGTCTTTGGTAGTGTGGTCAGATAGCAGATGGCAGAAGTGTCGGAGGATGATGCATTGGATCCGGAGGTTGGTGGGGTGGTACGTGAGGACGAGGGGGATTCTGTTTTGGTTGTTATTGCTGGAAGGGGGTGTGAGGGATGAGTTGTGGGAAATGCAAGAGACACGGTCGAGGGCGTTTTCGACCACTGTGGAGGGGAAGTTGTGGTCCTTGAAAAACGAGGACATCTGGGATGTCCGGGAGTGGAATGCCTCATCTCGGGAGCAGATGCAGCGGAGGTGAAGGAATTGGGAATAGGGGATGGCATTTTTGCAGGAAGGTGGGTGAGAGGAGGTGTATTCTAGGTAGCTGTAGGAGTCGGTAGGCTTGAAATGGATATCAGTTTCCAGGTGGTTGCCAGAGATGGAAACAGAGAGGTCCAGGAAGGAGAGACAGGTATCGGAGATGGTCCAGGTGAACTTACGGTTGGGGTGGAAGATGTTTGTAAAGTGGATGAACTGTTTGAGCTCCTCGTGGGAGAACGAGGCAGTGCTGATACAGTCATCGATGTAATGGAGGAAAAGGTGCGGGGTAGGGCCAGTGTAGCTTCGGAAGAGGAATTGTTCCACGTAACCTACAAAGAGGCAGGCATAGCCTGGGCCCATGCGGGTACCCATGGCCACCCCCTTAGTCTGTAGGAAGTGGGAGGAATTGAAAGAGAAGTTGTTAAGGGTGAGGACGAGTTTAGCTAAGCGGATGAGGGTGCAGTGGAGGGATACTGGTCGAGCCTGCGGGACAGGAAGAAGCGGAGGGCCTTTAGGCCATCTACATGGGGACTGCAAGGATATAGGGACTGGACGTTCATGGTAATGATGACGTGTTGGGGATCAGGGAATCGGAAGTTTTGAAGGAGGTGGAGGGCGTGGGTGGTGTCATGGACGTAGGTGGGGAGTTCCTGGAGCAAGGGGGAGAAAATGGTGTCAAGATAATTGGGGATAGGTTCAGTGGGGCAGGAGCAGGCGGAGACAATGGGTTGACCAAGGCAGTCAGGTTTGTGGATTTTGGGAAGGAGATAGAAGCGGGCGGTGCGGGTTTGAGGAACGATGAGGTTGGTGGCTGTGGGTGGGAGGTCACCTGAAGCGATGAGGTTGTGGATGGTTTGGGAGATGATGGTTTAGTGCTCGGGGGTGGGGTCATGATCAAGGGGGCAGTAGGAGGAGGTGTCGGAGAGTTGGCACCTGGCCTTGGCGATGTAGAGGTCAGTGCGCCATACTACAACTGCGCCTCCCTTGTCCGCGGGTTTTATGGTGAGGTTGGGATTGGAGCGGAGGGAGCAGAGGGCTGCACGTTCTGTGGGGGAGAGGTTGGAGTGGGTGAGAGGGGTGGAGAGATTGAAGCGATTGATGTCTCAACGGCAGTTGGGGATGAAGAGGTCGAGGGAGGGTAGGAGGCCTTGGGGTGGTGTCCAGGAGGAGGGGATGTTGGAGGCGGGAGAAAGGGTCAGTAGGGGGAGGGTTAGTTTCACGGTTAAAGAAGTAAGCGCGGACGTGGAGGCGGTGGAAAAACTGTTCAACGTCCAAGCGTGAGCGGTATTCGTTGATGTTAGGGTGGAAGGGGATAAATGTGAGCCCTTTACTGAGGACTGACCATTTGTCCTCAGTAAGGGGGAGGTCTGGGGGGATGGTGAAGACCCGGCAGGGCTGGGTGCTAATGTCCCCTCTAGAGCTGCTTGTTATCTCAGATTCTCCAGCATCGGCAGTTACCACTATTTGTATGAATTCTAACATTTTTTTCGCTAGTCAATTAGCTGATTTGGTCAACTTGTAATACTAACATGATAATTACAGCTGTGACCCATTTTGATTCACCTATCCAATAAACCTTAGACACTGCACAATACTCAAACCCTCCCCACCCCAAAATTATTTCTTAAATGATGCAAAAGCTTATGTTTTCATATTCTAAGCAGTGATCACCCTGAGAGTAGAACACCCTGACATCCATTAAAAGATTAGCTTTAACATTTGTGCTCATGAACTACTTCTGATTTTTATATTATTGGACATTCAACTTTCTCTATGTCATATAAATCTGGTGTCTCCATAAGATTTCCTCAGGAACACCACCTGTCCGAGCTAAAAAGCCCATCTTTCTCAAGCTCCTCATAATTTAAAAACCAAAAGAACTGCAGATGCTGTAAATCAGGAACAAAATCAAAGTTGCTGGAAAAGCTCAGCAGGTCTGGCAGCATCTGTGGAGGAGAAAACAGAATTAACGTTTCAGGTCCTGTGACCCTTCCTCAGAACTGATGGTGGCTGGGAAAACGTCAGTTTATAGGCAGAAAATAGGGAGGTGGGTGGGGGAGGGAGTAAATGAGAGGATAGGGCCCAAAGTGAGAGAGAGACAGTTGGACAGACAGAGGAGTTGTTGCTATCGTTAGCAACTCCTCTATCTGTCCAACTGTCTTTCTCTCTCCTTGGGCTCTATCCTATCGTTTACTCCCTCCCCCACCCACCGCCCTATTTTCTGCATATAAACTGACGTTTTCCCAGCCACCATCAGTTCTGAGGAAGGGTCACAGGACCCGAAACATTAACTCCGTTTTCTCCTCCTCATAATTTAAACCTGTAGCCGAAGTGATTAGTTCTTCTTTGCACAATCAAACAATTGAATTGTTCTCTTGCTTCCTGACCAGAATTAAATGCAATTCATGATATTTGTTTGATAATTTCTGACTTATATTAAACTATTTTGGGTATTTAGATTGACAATCTATTAGCTTTGTTAATCTGTGCTGTTTGGAAATATTACAAGTTGAATCCACTTACCTATGTCTCTTTAACTTCGTCCAAACCTATTTCAGTGCCGTTCATGGAGTCTCTATGCTTTTCATTTTCTTTCTCATGTGCAATACTTTATACTTGTCAGCCTTAAATTCCATCTGCTTTTTTTTTGTATGTTCAAGTATTTTTTAAACTTACTTCTTAACCATTGAACTGGCTCCATTTACTCCACTGACCTTGCCAGTATGGAGTGGTGTGCATGTTTGTTTGGTTTGCCATGTTTTCAAATCCAAATCAGTGATGTAAGTTAGAAACTGCAATGATACCAGTTCTTCCGGATAATTAGATGGAGCTGATATCAATGAAAAGTCAATATAATTTGGAGGTTTTCACAACATCAACATTGAAGAATGGTTCCATGATGTACTATTCCCAGTGGGAAGCTGCTATCACAGGGGACACTGTTTGGAGAAATGGGTCTTCAATATTGTGGTCTTACCTCCAACGTGTCCACCTTGATTGTATTGTTGTTGACTGGTAGCGCAAGGAATGAGTCACAGTGCTAAATATTTTGTCTCTTCTCTATCTCTGGTTTGTACATGTTGTACCTATTCAAACAAGTTATTTACTTTAAAATTAATTAATTATTAATTCACAATAGGGACAAGCTGATCTATTGAAACATGCTAAAATTGAAGCATTGGACAACCTGAAGCAAATCCATTATGCTGCAGTATCTTGTGGTTTGAACAAACCAGGCACTGGAAATACAGAACCAGCCAAGACAAGACGAAGCCTAGAGGCAATACCTGAAAAAGAAAGTGTTGAAACTGGAGCTGGAGATCAAGTTGCTCACTTTCACCAGGATACAACCACTCAAAAATCTCTCAAAGCTGCCAAATGAATACATCCAATATAGAACATTTGGATTGCACTTCAAAGCCTTCTCGGTTGGTTGGTTTTAGTACTTTGTAAATACTAAGGCACAATTCTGAAGGCTCAGAAAAATGTGACAAATGGAGCTATGAATGTAACACTTCTCCAAGTGAAAGTATACTACTAGCGGTGGAAGTATACTGCTTCAAAGAAGTAGTGGACTTGCCATTAAATGTTTGTCTGCCAAATTAATATGTATATATGATGTCACAAAGAATTAGGTGAAATGTAACTTTTTTTCTAGTAATTTATGCTGCCATTTTACATTCTTTTTGTAAATGTTACATTTCTCCAGATACTTAAAATTCATTTCTTCATTTGATTGAAAAATAGTTATACAGAAGAATATGTAAAATATATATAAATACAATGAGGTGTGTGTTGTTATGCTACCCAAACATTGTAAAGCTTATTGAGCCATAAGTGGAAACATGTATTCTTGATTGTGGTCACTGAAGCTTCAGTGCACTTTATGAAGACCATTAATCAAGGGAAAGCTGGAAAAGTTTTGCTGTGAAATCTGTTCCTTCAGCGATAGTTGTTAATGTCAAAAAAACCATTTGAAGTCCTTGTACCCGCCTTCTGGTGACCAAATAGGCAGCAGCTTTTAGCAGGTTGTTGTATATAGTTTCTATTTTGTGAAGTGCAACTAGAAAAGTTAGGCTCATTAATTTCCACAAGGTAGGATTTCTATGCCAGTAACGTTGGTAATACACAGGATTGCCAGCCACCATGATCTTGTTTAATGTAATGATTCAGTGGGATGGAAGAGGGAATTTTTTTTTACCTCCGTTTCTTTTCTAGCCCATAATCACCAACAACAGTACTGAGTCAATAAATTGTAAACAACATTGCCAGTGTTGTTGACCTTGAACCAATTAAACTGGTTGGTTTACATTTTTTCTTAAACAAAGTCCATTTGAAGCCCATAAGAGTTCATCGTCTAGTTTGAAAAACAGCATATGTTTAGCCACAGATTTTTCTCAGATTCCTGATTTATATTTTGACTTAATTGAATCATAATTTGTGCTTATTCTGTTGCTGAATTTTAAAAGAACTTTTGCAAAATCCACTGTTGTAAACCATCCAGAAATGAGCACAAGAGAGTGCAAGAACATAACATAGATCCAAAATAGACGCAGAACACAGTGATCCTAAAAGCCTGAATCAAATATTGTTTCAAATCTTCTTTAGACTTTTTCAGATCTTGCCCTCCTTGGCATTCTAGGCATTTGGTTTTACAAATTCACTAACATCTGTGTAAAGCAGTTAAATGTAAATGGTCTATGTAACTCTCCTCTCTTCCGCCCCCAAGCTGCCATAAGTTTTCTGCTCTAACCAATTATAGGCTCTTAAACCATTTCTTGTAGTGAAAGGGATAATTTTTATGTTCTTGCCCCTGTCATTAAAATTTGTCTTAACCTGATATAACACAGGGCAAAGAATGTGGAATTTATTGTAAATATAGTTCTCTCTGTCCAATCTTCATGAAAGCATTGGTAGGAATTTTTTCCTTTATATTAAAGAGAATGTAAAGAAAATCTGCCCTGCAATGTCATATGCTAGGTTTCAATTTAGTTTCACTTCCTTGCTTGCTTCTAACTTCTGCATAGTTTCGACATGGTATGGCAAACTGAATTGTACACAATTCCCTAGCATGACAATACCAGTGCCTTGTACACGCTCATCACTTCATGGGAATCTCAACTTTATCCATCTATACATCCATACCAAGATCCAATTATATTTTACAGCTGCACAGATTGAAATGTTCCAATGAATTATTCCCCAAAACCCACATCACTCTACTGTGTTGTTTCCAAGCTATTTAGTTTTTGCTCCCATTGTTTATTTCCCTCTCTAATTTTATTATCTTGTAGTTATCCGCATTAAATGTAACTTGCCATTTATCAGCTCATCTTCCCAATTTAAGAAGGTAATGTTATAGTTACAATGAAACAAAATACTGCAGGTGCTAGACATCTGAAATATCAATAAGTGCTACAAAACTCAGCAGGTCTGATAGTGTTTGTGTGGCGAGAAGCAGTTAATATTTCAAGTCATACATGATATTTTTCCTTCACTTACAATGTAGGACACTTTTGCCTCTTAGCAAATGATCCCACTCTCTAGTATCCACAAGTGATTGTTTTTGGGTCCACACAGCTCCATTCACAAGCTCTTATTTGTTTTCTGTGGTTTAACAATTTTCAGTCCACCTTAGAAGTTAGTGCAATGTATGAATTCCTCCCTACAATGACAGCATCAGCAGCCTAATTAGGTATGTTTTAAGCCTTAATAACTAATAATTATCTTGGTATAACACAGTAGCACATTTAAAAATAAAAGAAGAAGGATTACATTTGTGTTGAACCCAGGGAAGCACAAAGGATCAGAGCGACCTTGATGTGCATGTCCCCAAGTCCATTAAGGTAACAGGATAGGTAAATAAAGATTAAGAAGGCCTATAGGATATTTGCCCTTATAGCGAGGCATGGAGTTTAAGAACAGGGAGGTTGTGCTCGAACTGTATAAAACATTGGTCAGGACACGGCTACAGTCTTACGTGCACCTCTGGAATCCACATTAAAGGAGGTATGTGATTGCACTGGAGGAGATGCAGATCTGTAAAAATGATCACTGAATGACCTATCTAATTCTGAGTGATCACATTGGATCTCCCTCCTGATTAGAGGGTGGTGAGCTTCCCCACTCCTTCTTACCCAGGAAGTCAGGCCTTTCTAAAGGATTGAATGTTTAACATCCTGCAGTCTTAATGCTGAAAGTATCCTTAGGAAGGGCTGGATGGGGAAAATTAAATCAGAATTATCAGGATGTTGCCTGGGCTGGAGAGTTTCAGTTATGAAGAGAGACTGGACCACCATGGGTGGTTAGACTAAAGGAGATTGATAGGGAATATGATTGAAATGTATGAAATTATGAACGGCATAGACAGGAAGAAACTTTTCCCCTTGGTAGAAGGATAATGACCAGGAAGCATAGATTTAAGGTATGAGGCAGAAGGTTTAGAGGAGATGTGAGGAAATTTTTTTTACCCAAAAGGTCTGGGATTCTGGAATTCACTGCTTGTGAGTGTGGCAGAGGCAGAAATCCTCATAACATTTAAGAAGTATTTAGATGTGCACTTGCAATCTCAAGGCATACAAAGTTATGGGCCAAGGGCTGGAAAATGGGACTAGAATAGTTAGATGATTGTTTTGACCAGCACAGGCTCAATGGGTCAAAGGGCTTTTTTCTGTGCTGTACACCTATATGATTGTGTGCATTGATATAGGACCTTTGATGATCATCCAAAGCAGTTTTCAGACAATGAAGTGCTTTTGAGGTTTAGCCACTGTTGAATTGTAGGGAAACTCAGCAAATAATTTATACACAGTAGGTTATCACAGACAACAGTGAGATATATTGACCAGTAAAACGTTTTACTAATGTCACATGATGTTAACTAGGGTATCAGGTTTTAATATGGAACTTTTATGTCCACTAGAGAGGCTAAACATGATCTCAGTTTAAAATTCCATTTGGAAGACAGTACCCCTGACTGTGCAGCAGTCCTTTAACATGTAATATCTTGAGAAAAACTTGATTTCTCAACCTCGAAGATAATCAATCAAATAAATAAATATAGTTCCTCCAAACCTTGCTACTATTTTGCCATACCTAGTTGTATTCACCTTTCTTGCACTCATTACAAAAGTGTCACACGTGAGGATTTTGTATGTCATTCATAACTAGAGTTGACCACCATTCCCCACCCCCCCCCAAAAAGTCTGTGTCTTCTTGTGCATTTGTTTCATTCTCTCCTGCCATGTAGAATGTGCTGCTGATTCTGTATCAGTATTGAAAACAGATTTTAATTTTGAATAAGCTTTGAGATCTCAAATTTTAAAAAAAAGTCAGAAATTGACTTCAGTCCAATGAATCAAATTAGAATTGAATCATAAAATCATAGAAGTTTACAGTGCACAAGAAGGCCATTCAACTTATCGTGTCTGTACCAGCTCCCGAAAGAGCTACCCAGCTAGTCCCACACTCCAGCCCAACTCCCATCTCTGATAATTTGAATTGAGAAGGTCGGGCATTCATTCCTTGAAACTACCATCAAACTTGTTTTCTTCAACTCAATGCATTTTGTTAACTGGACCACAAACAACTCCCTTGTTAAGGTTGCCTCTCAGTCACTCAGACATGACTTTGTAAAATAACCCTGCAGGAAGCTGATTTGATTCATTCAAGGAAGAGGGAGTGTCAAACTTTTTATAGATTTGTAACATGACTGGCTTTGAAATTCAATTACAACTTGACTGAATCACCCAAGAAAAGATAATAAATTGCTTTATATTGCAAATTTTAAGTTTCATTTATTCTCTCTTAAGATGCAACTGCAGCATCCGTTCAAAATTCTGCATTATAATCACCTAGTCCAAACATTGTGCTTTCACTAAGCCCTCATTTGAATAAAAGGCTTTTCTTGAGTTGCAAAATATATCTTATAAAATACAACTAAGAGGAATTCAAATTGATCAGTTTTAATCAAGTACCCTATCTTGACTGACTTTGAACATAATGGAGAATATTTTCAGTTCCTGAAAAGTATGAAAGAAAGCTGCTATGTAAATAAACCACATTACACAGGAAGACTTTTGCAGTTGGTCAGCACATCAAGGTTTATGAAACACAAATCATTCTGTGAGAGGACAAATAAATGAAGGCATCCAGCCAAAGTTTAGGATTGATTTTAAGATTGATGAAACCTTGAAAACTAAATTTGTTCACCCTTTGCAGACCCAATGTTATTTGTATGTTGCAAAAATCAAATGTATATATTCATCACACGTATACGCAAAAAAAATGTAAAAATTAGAATTCTGGATATCGCCAAAAAAAGACCATCATGATGACCAATACTCTGAATTTGAAAAACTGAGACAATGTAAATTGGTTTTGTTTTGCTACCATGCAGAAATATTGCTGGTGTTTTCAAAGGCTTCATTTTGGAAGGAATGCTTGATTTAGTCCTCTTCTACTATTTGTGATATGAAGTCAAGAGCTTCCATTTGTTCACCCCTCTCAGTAGCACTGAATTTGTAACCAACAGAGCCGCTAATGATTTCTTACCAAAAGATTATTTCACTCGCGCTTTACTTACTCATGGGAACAACTGGATTGTAAAACCAAATGCCAGAATTTTGCTTAGAAATGCAACAATGTGAAAAATGTGGGTTTTTTTTATTAAAAATATTTTGAATCCAACTGTTCTGTTTTAATACAACATTCATATAAAATGAAAGATCATATTTGTAAGAATAAAATGCTGTTTTCCCAAAGCTATTGTTTAAAAATTTACTGACCCTAGCAGGTATATTACACAATTCATACAAATGGAAAATGTTTACTATTGAGCAACTGTTATATTAGGTTATTGCCATGATAAAAGGGAGCACATTAGATCAGTCGGCGAGATATCTAGCCTGTGGTTCAGCATAACAGCAAGAGTGCATCTGTTCCAGCTGAAGTAAGCTCACTAAACACCTCCTCAACCTGTCCCTAAGAATGGAAGGCAATGGCAAGCCATGACTGACAAAAATGCCAGGAAAACATCTCAGGATGAAGAATCAGAAGACAATGAGACAAGAAGTTGCATTTGCGTATGGCGTGTATGGCTGAATGAAATGAATTGCCATGATCTGCTAACCTAATACAACATAGTAGCATGCAAGATGACTAACAGGGCATTCTGATACTAGTTTTGGAGAAAATAGTCTGCCAGAATTAACCAATAATATCTGGGAAAATAAATGATGTCTGATTTCTTAAGATGGCAAGGAAGAGGCAATTGCTTTCTAACTCCACATGCAATCTAACAAGTTAGATTAGAGCCATTAATAGTTGCTTTGCCTTGCTAACTGGAGAATGCCTCCTCCCTATATGAAGCTAATGAATTAATTTTATTAGTCACTCATCAGGTTTCAAGTGTCTTTTTTGTGATATTTTACTTATTCTGCATATATTTTGAATTTTCAAACATACAGTAAATGGTAGGGCCCTGGGGAGTGTTGCCGAACAAAGAGACCTAGGGGCGCAGGTAGACAGGATGGTGAAGAAGGCATTTGGCATGCCTTCATTGGTCATGACATTAGGTAAAGGGGTTAAGATGTCATGTTGTTGATTTTACAGGACATTGGTGAGGCCACTTTTTAGAATACTGCGTACAATTCTGGTCACCCTTGTATAGGAAGAATGTTGTTAAACTTAACAGGGTGCAGAAAAGATTTGCAAGGATGTTGCCAGGAATGGAGGGTTTGAACTATAAGGAAAGGCTGAATAGGCTGAGTCTTGAAGGTTGAGGAGTGTCCTTTTCAAGGTTTAAGAAATCATAAGGGGCATGGATAGGTGAATAGCCAAGTGGGGGAGTCTAAAACTGGAGGACATAGGTTTAAGATAAGAGGGGAAAGGTTTAAAAAGGACCTGGGGGTAATCTTTTCACACAGAGGACGGTGCATAATCTGGTATGAGTGGCCAGAGGAAGTGGTGGAGGCAAATACAATTACAACATTTAACAGATATCTGGATGGATATATGGACAGGAATGTTTAGAGGAATATGGGCCAAATGCTGGCAAATGGGACTAGGTCAGATTGGGATGTCTGGTCAGCATGAATGAATTGGACCAAGGGGTCTGTTTCAGTGCTGTATGACAGTGCTGTATGACTCGATGACTCTATTAACATTGAACTGGGCTCTCCATCACTCTTTGCAGACTGTACAAATTCATACATTTGCAGTTGACTAATTAGCAACCCCTGTATTTGACAAGGCACCTTTTCTAATTAGCTGAGTTATTGTTTGATTTCACAAACTGTAAATCTCTGTTTTTCACCTTTCCATTCATCTTTATATCATAAAACCTTTGTGCTTCTTTTTACTCCTATTTTATATCATCAGAGTATAAATTCCTATAAGGGCAAAATGCAAGTAACACATAACAGGTTTACTGCCTACTTTTTCAAGCCTGCACCTAGCAGAAATTATAACTGTCTATATGATACCTGGCCAGTGAAAACTCCCACCTGAGCAATTACTCACCATTGACAGAATGTCAGTGTGATTGCAGCCATTTCAATCTGAAAGGCAAAGGAAGGAGATTAAACCGGAGTCGTTCCTGTAAACTGGAAGGTTGTACACATGCATCCGGATTGACAGGTATCAACAGTAATTTTCATTTTCACTGGTACAGCAACAAATTAAAGTTTGGAATATTGTAGCCCGGTAAAGATTTGATAGAATGACTCCTACTTCACCATAACGTGTCACTTAAAAAGACTTTTCTATCAATTCAGTAAGTGATTAACCACTTGTGAACTTGTGAAAAAACAGCAAGACAGGTTTTTTGGAAGAAGTTTGGAAGTAAGTCTTGTTCCAATAGGTTGTTCACCAAAGACCTCTGCAAAAGCCTGAGCCTCCTAAGATATTGTTGTCCTGTCATGTTGAGAAAGTTCAGCCACCATCTGTATATCTGATGGGTTATTACCTCCTTCATCCCTGTGTCCTTTGGAACAACGTTTTGCTAAGGAGAAGACAGCACCTGCTGCTCATGTTGTTCCTTCTGCTCCTGGTGTCACTGCTGCCCTTGTTTGTCATCAGGGGTCAAAGAAAGAATTACACAAGTTACTCCCATGCTGTAGCTCGCACCAGCAATGGAGAAGTAAAGCTCAAAGTCAAAAAAATCCGAAGATATCAGAAGTAACCTCTAAAGTTTTTCATGGGTTAGCATATATTGCTCATCCCTAAAAGCAAAGTGTTGGAATCTACCTCCACAATTGTGAAAACAACCACCTTTAATTCACCAAATTGATTCCTGCAATAGCAGGACTAACGTACGAGGAGAGATTGAGTTGGGTAGGATTGTGTTCACTGAAGTTTAGAAGAATGAGGGGGAAACTATAATAGAAACCTATAAAATACTAACAGGATTCACCAGATTAGATGCAGATAGGACGCTTCCTGCATCTAACCAATGGTGGAGGAGTCTGGAACCAGGAGTTTATGGATAAGGGGTACCTTTTAGGACTGAGATGAGGAGAAATTTCTTCACAGGTGAACCTGTGGAATTCATTACCATCGAAAGTAGTTGAGGACAAAATGTTATGTTTTCAAGAAAGAGGTAGATATAGCTCTAGTGGCTAAAGGGGTCAAGGGATAAGGGTGGGATTAGGGAATTGAGCTTGATGATTGGCCATGATATTATTAAATGGTGGAGCAGGCTCAAGGGGTCAAATGGCCTCCTGCTTCTATCTTGTATGTTTCTATGTAAATTTCACAGCTCTGTTTGAAACTGCTGTGCTTTTGTCTTGATGACTCTAGTAATTATCAGATACCCTGGGAACCCTTGTACTGTCAGTTAAAGCCAGAATGGTATAAATCTGCTTTCAATTCTCCTTTTCCATTTCAAATGTTAGACCTAACACCTCCACAGTGGATTCCCATCCACCTGCAAATATAAACTGGCTAAATGTGGAATGAAAAGATCATATTAGTTTCCCGATATGCTGGCAATTGTAGATGTATACCACCAAACGCCCAGTCTGGAAAACTAACCATCTCCCAATAGTTATTGCTTTCTTTCCCTAACTCAATTTGTTATCTAGGTTGTACACGTGGTCTGAATTTTACCAAAAATTGGCAATGTCAATTTTGAGCAGTTTTATAGAGATTTTCTTTCCACGAACCCTAGCAGGTTATCTCACACAATTCTCTGCTGCTTAACTCATTACGAACACACCGCCTCTTCATGATGTCACCTCACGCGATCTTCCATTTGCCCATAGAGGAAGTACCACTGCCTGAACCTCTCAGGATTCCCAGCCTCGGTGCCGTAGGTAAAGTGCAGGTCAAGGGTTACCAGCCAGGAACTGCACTTCACACTGCACATAGTGAGAAGGAAAATGAAAAAAAAAGCTTCTGAGGGCACACAGCTGACACTTTATTATAAATACAAGCTCTCATTTGTAAATGTGTTGTCATCACCTGGCAGCTTGACTGTTATTGTAACTGCAACTATAAAAATCAAACTACAAAGGCTACTAGTTCCTAACAACATACCATCTTAGAACCCTGTCTATGGGAGTGCTAAATTTTCCCGAACACTCAGCATAGCGTAACATCTTCTCACTGTGCAATGTGGGAGCATCACATGCTGGAAAGTCTTTAAATGGTTGAAATGCAAAAGTGAAGAAAGAAAACACGAAGAATGCCTTATTTGTTTTTTGAGCAACAAATTAACAGTCAATGAATGATGGCTATCTTGCATTCACATGTACTGGAAGCAAGTATCAATTAACTCCTAGACAACAAGGTGCAGGGCTGGATGAGCACTGCATCTTGTTGTCTCGGATTCTCCAGCATCTGCAGTTCCTACTATCTCTATCAATTAACTCCTGTCCTGTTTCACTCAATAGTGCACCACTCAATCGTGTTAAAGGTAACGTTCCTCCTGTTCAATGTGTTCATCTTCCTGTTCAGGAGGAAGCTGCCACTCTCCC